GTTTTAGGATTTCTGCTTTAAAATGGTGTTAGCACCTGACAAAAGCAAGACTGTTGATTTCGAGCTATATGCTAACAAGTGAAATGTTTAAATCTTTACCGTTGTACTCAAATGCCAAGGAAAAGAAAATGTTAAGCATCACTGCATTAGTTACATTATTGTATAACGATAGACTAACTTGGTTGTAGTTTCATATTCAAATCTTTCTCAATTTCACGATTTATTTGCATTTTTATATGTAAACATCAGTTTAAATAATTTGAATAACATCTATTTATGATTTTATTTAGATTTAACACACTATTGTATACACAATATAGTGTGTATACACTATATTGCCCTTGGTGCTAAACAAATTTCCCCTTGTGGGACAATAAAGTACTGAATTGAATTCAAACTTGTTTTTTTTCTCTAATCTGTAACCATAACATTATTCTATAAGGCAGAGATCATAGAAATTGATAAAATTAAGAACAAATTTGACAGCCTGGAACTTTTACCCCTTATGTCCTTATGTAAATTGGTCTTATTTATCTTTAGTGACAAAGGAAGATGAATGTCTAGATTTGAACAGGCTCATCTTTTACTATTGTGTTTTTAGGTGTGTCTTTATGTGCCTATTGCTTCCCTTAAATGACATTGTTCAGGTTGTTTCATTAAGACTAGCAGGATCTGGAACAACCTGTTTAAGCAACAGAAAGACACAAAGGATGTTTCTTAGACAGTACTACAAGGCAAGATCATCACAACCAGGGCATTTTACATTAGCAGTCAGGATAAACAGGCGCACAGAAGTGTTTAACCCAGGGTAACTTAACCCAAGCTAAAAGGAGTATTTCACAGGTCATATGACCTCCTCCACAAAAAACAATCCCAATGAGTGACAGCTGTTCTATAGAAGTTATCAAATGGTGATTAAAAATCTATAAAGAACAAATAAAAACCAGTAAAATGCAACACTGGCAGAAGAAATTGCTGCATAAAGGCATAAATCTAGTTATTTATCATGCAGAGCAGTAAGATAAACATTTTAATTCCAGTTAATTAATGTATGGCCTAGCATATTTTCAGTGCTGCTGTTTATTTTTAAGGTAATGGCTACACATTAGAGCTCTGAAATTTTAAACTGGATCCATTTAAAAACTTGAAGCTTACTGTCCCACAGTTTAATAAATGAGACATGGAAATTAGTTTGTTTGTCGATAAAAGTGAAATCAATTTCAGTGATTGAATGGGCATTCTTAGTGTGGATTAGTAACGGTAATTCCAGCAGTTTAAAATAAAGTTGCATTTAAGAATGAATTGGTCAATAGGTGGTGATTTGTTGCTGCTGATCTCTAATCTTATAGCACAAACGAAACGCAGGTTAACCATAAGGTTATCTGGATAAGCCAAAATCCTGATTCATAATAATGGCCTCTGGACTACCCCCCTGTTAATACTTATATTGTGTATGGCTGCATTTGGGTTGCAGTTGAACTACCTGGACACAGGACACATTTTAGGGTTGGTCATTCTGAGTTGCAGAATTATGATTTAGATATGTTTTTACTATGTAGAAACTTGGACTAAATTCTATACGCCATCCAAATTGTTTGTCTTGTAGCTTTGTTAAGCTCTTTCACAGAACATCTCAATCACATTATGGATAAACAGGGTTTTGAAACCTTCATCCATGCCACGGCTCCTCCCCCACCTTATCCTGGACTTTTTAAAAAAAGTATTTTTTGAGACATTTTTTGAGACTTTGTAATTTGACCAACTAAATGTAATACAAAGTTTTGGCTTATTCAGATAACTTTGTAGTAAAATAAAACAATACAAGCAGTTAAAACTAAAGGTCTTTCACTTACTAGAGTATATCACCCCTGAAAATATGCTGCAGAACTGAACTGCCCCATAGATTGGTATGTTCAAAATTAGAGAGCATGACTCTAAAGCAGCTAAACTAGGCCTATGTTTGATTTTTTTTT